CGATTTCGAAACGAGGAAACATGGTTGCTTAAAAATATGCATTAGGCCCAATGGAGTTGGAAGGAACCAGCTGGCTGTGGATATATGTCGCCTTTAACACCGTAAAATTCGTTCGTCGTCACCTAGCAACTGTCTGAAAAGGCAGAGAAATCACCATTTCGGAAAAGCATGTATACCTACATAGCAATCAGAGCTAAGACTTTTGTTTTAAACACTTCTCGGTATGGTGTATATTCTCCATGACCTAGAAGGAAAATTAATTGTGACTATGCCATGTTATCTGCTGTGATTACCAGCCCTCTGAACAGCGGATCTGCGAGAAATAAATATCATGGCGGATGAGATAGGCCTATGCAAAATCGCAGGGAACGCATTTCAAATTGCAATGCACATATAAACTCCAAAATTTTCGTTATGAGATCTGTTAGGGGCAAGTCTCCGGTCTGTAAAACCGAGATTAAAGGCCGTGGGGAACCATTGCGCTGACCACTTGACACCCTCTATCAGCTAAAGTTGGCACTAACTTCGCCGACAAGCGGCGGTCGCTCAGTCGATATAGTTCGTTTGCGGACTAGAGGCCACGGAGTTATTAGGGCCAAGTCAGTTTGTTTATAGACATGCAGTAAAGTAATCATAAAACGCCGTTTTGCTCCGTATGGATATTTTCACCGCATTCAGATGTTGAGGACTCGGAGTCGGGTGAGCTTTCAGTCTTTGCTTGCACGAGTCCTGCCACTGTTACATGAGAAATTGGTCTCCAGAAGCGTGATGAAGTTCAGATATGAGTACTCTGTAACGGCAGCAACAAATCAAAACGACTCTCGTGATGAAAGTGGAGGACTATCTCTTCCTGGTCACTTCTGAGATTTCTAATCTTTCAATTTCATTCTTATAAACCTAAAAATTAAAAAAATATAATTTCACCTGTTTAAAATGTGAAATGTTCTCTTTCGCCGCATAGGAAGAACACAGACGTACAATGTTCGGTGGGGATAGGAGTGCTGAGGAAAATATTTGGACGTGAGAAAGATAAAGTATTGTAACAGGAGGTTGGAGGAAATTACGTAATGAGGAGCTGTAACATGAAATGTAACTTACATCACATTATGATCTACAGATCTTTATAAGATCTTTGAAGCTGTATACATTTTGACTAATGAAATGGGTCTGCAAGGAAATACCATTTATGACTGCGTAGGGTAGTGAATTAGGGTTTCCAACAGAAGGTTTGTGTGCGCTGCTTTCAGTTAGCACCAAAGACAGATGAGCAACTGTGCACATCGATAAGAGACACACGTGGAAAATGTATTTACTTACTCATGGAGCTGAGCCCTTCTTGAGAAGCCGCAAATTCTGCAGTTACTCAAGAATTTCCCAGCATTTTATGGAACCCGAAGGTTCATTACCGTGTTCACAAGAGCCCTCCACTGGTCCCTATCCTGAGCCAGATGAATCCAATTAATACCATCCCATCCTATCTCTCTAAGATCCATTTTAATATTGTCCGCCCACATACGCCTTCGTCTTCCTTGTGGTCCCTTTCCTTCTGGCTTTCCCACCGATATCCTATATCCCTAATATCCTTAATTCGTGTTACATGCCCTGTACATCTCATACCCCTTAACTTGATCTTCTAATTATACTTGAAGAAGAGGGGAAATGTATTAGATTTCAAATTTAAGTAGCATGTACTTCCACAACCCAGTCTTCTCACACCTTGCTGCCCTTTATAAGGACGTTTTACTTTAGTAACCACCAACAATTCTGCCGTAAATAACTTTAACTTTATCCAGCCTACATATGCAGTTAAGTAAACTAGAGGTGGGTACATAAGGTCAAGATTCAGCGGATCAACTTGCGCAGGCTCTAGCTGCGGAATGGTAACCTCGGGTTCTGAGACAAATAATGTCCAGTTATTTCGCCTGTTTGCAGCTCATTGTCTCCGGCTTTGGCTTATTGCAGACCAAAGCTCATCTTCCTACAGATCAGCCTATGATAAATTTGCCAATAAACCTATAGCATTTCGGAAACTAGATCTATTTCAGTTTTCAAGTGATGAGACAATAACTGAGGTTAGATTTCTCTAAGGGGAGCAACAGAGTAGGTGTATCCCGCCCCGTCACCTGATGACTGAAAAGTTGGGTTCTTTGTTGTTCTTTAGTATAGCGAACCAGAACGAGGTCGAAAGTCACAGAAATCCCGATTAATATTCTTTATATTCCATTACGGCCTACTCTACTCCATTAAGACCTGTCCTAATGTGATTATAATTTAATGCTCTGTACCAATCTATGTACAGTGAATCTTTCCTTTAAGAAGAACTGTCTTTTTATTTCGGCATTATTTATAGACTAACTTCATAATTTTGGGCCGCGCCATAGCTCAAGCGGTTAGTCATTGGCTTCCCACGTCGGCGGCCCGGGTTCGATCCCTCGTCTGGTCAAGTGAGATTTGTGTGGACAAAGTGGCACTGGGGCAGGTACTTCGGTTTCCCCTGCCAATCTTCATTCCACCAATTGCTCCACAATCACCCTCACCTATCATCTTGGGCTGGTACATTAGGCCAGAAGTGGCCGCAGTACAAGGGACTTAGTCCCACCCCACTAGCAACAAAAAAACAAAATGAACCTCATAATCTTCCAGTAACCTTAAAAATATCTGCCAGGAAAGACACTGAATTTATTCTTGCGTTATGTCTCCGTTATACATGGACGAAAATTGAATGCAGACTTCAAGTTTAACCATAGAGTCCCAACAACAAATTCAAGCGGAATTCATTGGGTAGTTTCTGAGCTGGAGGAAGTAGAAGGTCAGGCCTAAGCTCTTAATTATAGCCCTAAGTTAGTTTCTTATACTTTCTGCAGAAAACGCAAACATATGCAAAATCTGGTTTCTACAAAGCCTCCAGGCTTCTATGTACTTGGGCAGTTAGCGGACTGAATATAGAGCAAACTAACAGCGTTTCAGTCGTCTACAGAAACCGATGCGATACGTGGCACAAATTATATATATATATAGATCAAGAATTAGAACCGGAAGTTCTTTGCCAGTGAGTGCTGTAGTCAGTCAGTTCTACATATGCTATTCACAGTGCTGTGAGAGCCGTGGAAGGAAGAGGTTGTGGCCTATCCTGAGCACCGTCTCACATTCGCCTGCATCTCGCTCCACCGCTCAGGATTTCCTGTAGCTTCCGTAGCTGCCCGAAGCATCCATATCCTCGAGCAGGCTGGCTCTTCTTCGGGAGATTCTCGTGGTATCGGTAGTTTCTGCAGACGGATCCAAGGACAGCGCCTTTAAATACTTCACGACAATCTGTATGAAAGGGATCCGGGGTGGAGTAGCCGGTTTAGCGATTGCCTACAGGTTCGGAGTTCAAGTCCTGGTAGGTTCGAGAATTTTATTTTCTCCACGTCGTCCAGAACGGCTCTGGGTCCCACCCAAGCTGCTATAAAATGAGTGCCGCAGGCTCTTCCCGGGGGTAAAGCAGCCTGGGCGTAAAGCTGACCACTCACCTCCAATCAATGCCGAGGTCAAGAAAATGTGGCTCTATATATCTACTCACCCGTACGCCTACATGGCGTAGTGCTTAAATAGTTAAGTACAAGGACAGTTTTACATTTTTTACCCTCTATCAAAATCATTACCTGTTCATCATTCAAGAAATACTAGCATCTCATTTTACCCATGAAATCACTGAATTTGAAAGCCCGCCGTTATATGTCCCAAGGATCATTCAAGTCCCTTTATGTTTTCATATCGTGGAGGATAATACAGGAGTTGCTGCAAAATGCTTGCTGTTTCTATGTGCGCTTCAGTGACGCATTATGAACTGCATGGACCTAAGAGTCAAATGACAGGATCTCGTGAATGATGGATTATCGAATAATGTGGTAAGCTTCAAGGTAATATGGAAGCATTTACCTGGAAGGATAAGGGAAACATTGAACATTCCCAGTCATTATTCAGACCAAGAATCGAACTCTACAGAATACAGCAATACCTCGCATAGTCCGGCTTCGATCAGTCCGGATTCACTATAGTCCGGTTTGAGAATTTCAAAACAAACTAAATTTTAATTGAGCAAAATAAAGATAAATTCTGAAAAATTAGTACACAAAATTATTTTTAATATATAAATGATCTGTTTCCCCCCCCCCCTTTT